CCAAAGTACAGTCAGAAACATGGAATGTTATAACACAGGAGGATTTGACACACTGTGCCAGTTTTCAAAGATGTATCCAATTAATCCAAGTCTCCTGCTGGTTCCCTAAACACCAAAGTTTCCTCCAAGTCTACATCCAATTCCTTTTTGAAAGTTATTGGCATCCTTATTTAAGACGACTAATGGGTTTCTATCCTTTATCACAGGAGGAATTGAACATACACGCAAAGATGTTATGCTTCAATAAAGAGTATTGGTGAGACCACATCTTAAATACTGTACATAGTTTTGGTCTCCTTATTGACGTAAATGTGTTAGAGGTGCTTAAGAGAAAACATACTAGACTGACAGCAGGTATGAGTGAGTCGTGTTGCGTTGGTCAGGAAGGGCTTGCTTCCACTGGAGTTTGGAAGAGTGAGTGGTCACGTTTGAAACGTACAACATCTTGAACGGTCAGGCAGGGTGGACATGGAAAACATGTTTCCTCTTGCAGGTGCATCCAGAACTAGGGGGCACCATTTTAAAATTACAGGTTTCCCTTTCAGGAAAGGGATAAGAATTTTTTTTCCTCTCAGAGGGTTGACAAATTTTGGAGCACTCTGTCTCAGAATAAGGTGGAGGTAGGGTCATTGAGTATTTTTAAGATAGAGGTGGAGAGATTCTTGTTAGGCAGGGGATCGAGGAGTTCAGGGATAAATGGGAACGTGGAATTTGAAAGATTGATTTCAGCAAATTGTACAGCAGGCTTAAAACTAAATGGTCCGCATTTGTTACTATTCTGATGTCTGTAATTTCATAACACCAAGTCCTTCTGCTCTTACATATCACGCGGCATTTTCTGAAAGAATATTTAGAATTTTTTTTAATGAATGTTACCTCCCTACACATGCTGGTTGCCATTAACTTAAATCTACTGCTATTTTTCCCCAAACAAGCCTGTCACGTCAATATTCATTTACAAATTCTTTGATGATCAGAATAATTTACCCCCTGTCGAAGCAAGTGAATTAGTGTAAATAACTAGAATAGAATCCTTTGTGATATTTCCAACCATACCAAGAAGCAACTGTGCTGGCAAGTATGGGAAGGGGAGGAGAAAGAATGAGGTGGGGGAAGCAACGAGGAGGGCAAAGCAAAACAAGGGAGGAATGAGCAAAAAAGGAGATGGGGAGAGAAAAGGAGAGATTAATTTATTTAAACAGTCACTAAGAAATTTTTTTTGTACACAAATCTATCAAAAACCCACCTGAACCAGCTGGAGATGAGCTGACACTAAGATTCTGTAAACTTCCATTTCGGAGTAAGGATGGAGATTTCTGCAGACTTACACTTGCCATACTGCCTGCAGCAGATGTAACTGATGATGATGGTGATGCAGATGAGAGAGAAAGCTGAGAAACGTTATCCTTATTTTTACTTCCTTTTGGTCTGCCAGGTCCATGCTTGTACTTTTTATTTCCCTTTCTCTTTTTTTCTTTTATTGTCTCTTCCTCCTCGACTTGAGCTCTTTTATACCCTGATACACCACTTGAAGTAACAGTTGTAACATCAGAGATATCTTTTTCTTCACAACTACTCTCAGTGCGTTTTGAATGTTCGATGTTTATTGTTTCAGGAGGGCCGGATGACGTTGGTGGAAGGGTCAGCACAGGACTAGTACAAATCAAAGTCCCTTCTTGGTCAAGACTTTCACCTTTAGTTGTCTCTCTGATTGAGGATTGTTGAGCGTTGCTGTAACCGTCACTTCTTGTATCTGATTCAGTGAAAGTTTGAAACTCTTGCGGTGATTGGGCTGAACTGCCAGATGATTTTATACTGGATACGGTTCCTACTAGATTGCCTGTAACAAAACGAAATTCACTTATAAAGCTCTACAAGTAGGGTAAATGCAAAAATACAAAAGTACTGGATTTTGATTTCTTAATTGCTCTATAAATGAATAGTTTAAAACAGAAATGTCAAAATTAGCTCTAAACGAATAAAACAGAATACCAAATTTCAGTAATTCATTTTTTCCAACTTCTTTAGAAGATCTGTTTAAAATCTCATGTCATATTTACAAAAGCAGTTGCAGTTTCACAAATAATTTTTGCATTACATTTTCATATTTTTACAACATAATAAAAAGTGCACACACTACAAAAGTAGTATTCCTTGGGTAGCATTCCTTTTATTAGTTCTAAAACCTAAGCTGTGATACTGAAGACAAGCAAAATAAAGACTGCTTGCTGACCAATTCTCCACGAGTTAAGCAATGACAGGTAGATTTTAATTAGTCAGGTATCCCAACAAGGCATCGATTTCAAAAAACATTACGACTCAGCTTTCTGTACCAATCTTTTTTTTAAAAAAAATCATTCATGGGATGTGGTCGTCGCTGGTTGGCCAGCATTGATTGCCCAGCCCTTGTTGCCCTTGAGAAAGCAGTGGTAAACTGTCTTCTTGATCCATTGCAGCCTATGTGCTGTAGGTAGACACAATGCCATTATAAAGGGAATTCCAGGATTTTGAACAGGTATAGTGATATATTTCCAAGTCTGAATGACGAGTACTTTGGAGGGAACTGGCAGGTGGTGTTCCCATGTACCTGCTGCCCAGTCCTTCCAAATGGAAGAGGTCATGGGTATTGAAGGTGCTGCCTAAACAGCCCTTGATTAATTTCTGCAGTGTATCTTGGAGATGGTACACACTGCAGCCGAGCGTCGGTGCTGAGAATGTTTATGGATGCGGTGCCAACTAAGTGTACTGTTTTGCCCTGAATGGTGTCACGCTTTGAACGTTGTTAACCATTTTGCTCTCCTCTAAATCACAGACCACCAGCCTTCAATTAGTTTGATTCACTCTGTGTGATATTTAAAGTCAGTCGAAGGCACTGATACAACAAAGTCTAAGGGATCTGATATTACCCCACTGAAGATATATTCTCCACAACAGCTAAACCCTCCACAACAGTTAAACCCCTCATCAAGCTGTTTCAGTAGAGCTATATTATCTATCCAAATCGCCAAGGTATGTGATATCCTGAAATTGGTGGACAAAATCAACCCGGTCAACTACTGCACCAATCTACTCTTGACCATCAGTAAAGTAACAGAAGATGTCATTACCAGGATTACTAGCTCGTGTCAATTCAGCAATAACCTGCCCACCAATATTCAGTTTGGGTTCAACCAGGCTCACTTGTTTCTTCCAACACTGACAGATGAGCCGAATTGAAGAGCTCAGACAATAGGGACTGTTATTGACATAAACACAGCATCTGCCCATTATGACATCAAGGAACCCAAGTAAATATGAAGTGAATGGGAATTACAGAAAAAATTCTCCACTCATTCAAGTCATATTTAGTACAAAAGAACACGATTGGGATCTTTCAACGCCAATTATCTGAGATGGAATACTTTCTTCATTCACCGAATCAATGCTGCTGTAACAATACTCAATTGATTCAACACAAGGATAAAAAGCCCACTTGATTGGCACCCCACCTACCATTTTAAACAGTCGTGTGCTCCCCAGGAACACACAAACATTCCAGCAATGCAGCTAAATTCCTTCATCAGCACAATCTAAATCCAGGATTTCTGCCACTTCAAAGGGCAGGACATTAGGCACATGAGAAAACCACTGCCAAGTTGTCCTTCAGCCACAACCGATCCCAAGTTGGAACTATATTGCTGTCCCTTTACTACAATTGGCCCAAAAACCTGGAAACCCCCTCCAACATTACTGTGGGCGCATTTATACCAGATGGACTGTGGCAGTTCAAGAAAGCAGCTCAATTGTCATCTAGGGATGGACAACAAATACTGGTCTTGCCAGTGATGCTCATATTCTATGAATGCAAAAAATTATTCTCACACCCAATTCTTCTTTCCACGTACCACTTACCCTTCATCCCATGATTCTGATTTACAAGGTACAGATTGTGTAAGTATTCATCTCATGCTTTCCCAACTTTCTCAAACCACAATTTCATTCTTTTAGATGACCAAGAATTGCAATCTGCCCACATGGGGGAACTGCAAGAATCAAAGAGTGAAGAAGATGGAACACTCTCAGCCTCTCAGTCACACTCTGTATTTGTTTTGATCTTATGAAATATTTGGACTAACAGAAGCAATAGTAGGAGAAAACATATTGGGAATCCCTGCACTCTGTTGTACTTCCCTATCCGGCATACTGTTTTGCTAGTGGTTGCACAACATTCATCGGAGGCAGTGGATACAGCAGCTATTGGCCACTTGGTTTACATCAGTTTTACATGCTTCGCCACTGTAAAGAAGGGCACTGGGAAACAGAAGTCTGGCACACATGGAATCTTCAATTATTTTGTTTGCTGTTGGTCCAAATTTCACTTCTCAACTTTGATGTGACAGCTACAACCATGGGAATTCTGGTGTTGACCCTGGCATAAAAAGAGATGTTACTGGTAATTGTTGATTCAAGCCATGCGAAACTGTCAAAAAACTCCAGAACATGGTTATCAATTCAGGTGGAAAGTGGAGTCTCTATGGCCTGGCTCATAACTTTGATCTCAGACACCGACACAACATAATTTAGAGGATAGCTTAGAGGGCGAGATATGCATTTGGAGAGACACTTGGCATAAGGCCCACAGTCACAGTAGGTGCCACTACATTAGTGGGTGCAGTCACACATGAGCATTTCCACAACGACTTTAGAGTCAGATCGTACAGAAGTCGTCAAATTAATATGCGCCAACAAATCAACAACAGTCCCACTTTCCAACATTTCGCGCATAGCTTCGGATGACAAGACAAGTGCTCATCCATATACTTTTTAAAAAGGTTTGATGTTTCCTGCCTCCATAATTCTCCCAGGCAGTGCATTCCAGATTCCCACTACCCTCTGGATGAAAAGCTTTTTCTTTCAAAACCATTTCAAATCTCCATCCTTTTACTTTAAAAAAAAATGATGCCTCATTATTGAACTTTCAGTTGAACAATTGCTTACTATCCACCCTGTGCATGACCCTCGCAATCTTACATACCTCAATCATTTAATGTTTTAACGAAGATCTGTAGCTCGGATTGTGGTTGAAGTTGTTGGTTGGTTCACCGAGCTGACTGGTTTTCGTGCAAACATTTAGTCTCCCTTCTAGGTGACATCTTCAGTGCTGTCTAGAGGAAGAAGTTTGTGCAGAGTCTGGAGCTCATATTTTCTAGATTCGAGTGATGAGCTACTCCAGGAAAACATTTACAGACAGTTTCATGGGAACAGCAGACTAAAGGACTACAAGGGCATTAGTTTACAGAACTTGTACATGAATAGTGTTGTGAATAAAACATTTCCTTCCTATGATCTGATGTTGCTGACTATGACAAGCATTTACTGCCCATCTCTAATTGTAGAAAATAGTGGTGAATTGCCTTCTTGCAGCACTGTAGCCCTTGGTGAGTAGGTATACCAACTGTGTTATTGCAAAACAAAAAGTTTCATGATTTTGAGCTCAAATGAACGATGTGAGAACATGATTATAGCTACAATAACAGTAGCATGGTTTAAAAATAAAACAAATACTCAAGGATATAAGAAATGGTCAAAAAAGATGAGGAACAAAAAAAGGGAGGTGGAATGGTTATAGCATTGATATGGAAGACATTGTAGAGTGGAAAGAGGAAATGCCCTGTGAGAACAACAAGTTGAGAGGGGAAGTGAAGTTAAGAATAAAATGATCAAAGTGTAAACATGGGAGTGGAATGGCAGTCAACATAAAAGTGAATGAAAAAATCTTCTATCACAATATTGTGTGCCTATTGAGAGATGAAGTAGGTCCTACAAGAGACAAAGTAGGTACTATAAGCTGAGAGATGTAGGGCACCTTGTTTTCAGTGTTTACTAAGCAAGAGGACACTGACAAAATATCAATACAAACTGAGATGCGGCAACATTTCAGACGAAGGAGGTGCTAGAAAGGTTGATATGCTTGGGAGTGGAAAAGTCACCTGTTTAATGGTAAGTATTCAAGTTGCAAAATGAAGTGGGAAAAGCAATAGTAGCAGGGCTTGCAATCTTCCAGTTTTCCCTTAACGAGGGGAGGTGCCAGAGGCTCGAAGAATGGTAGAAGTGACACTTTTATTAAAGGAATGATGCAAAGACAATACGACAAGTAAAGGTTTCATTTGCAAATCTCATGACAGGATACATTGAGTCTCGTTAGCAATGCATATGCAATCATGGGCTTCATTAATACGGACGTTGAGGACAAAAGCAGGCAAGTGTGATGCCAATCAGACAGGCTACTTTGTCCACAATGTTGTCAAAGTTTGAGTGTTTGAACTTCATCCAGTTAAATGGGGAATATTCCAATGACACTCCCGATTTGTATCTTGTAGAGGTTAGACAGGCACTGAGGGGTAAGCTGGTGAATGACTGACTAGCTGCAGGATTCCTGCCTCTGACTTGCTCTTGTAGCCACAGTATTTATTTGGCTAGTCCAGGTCAGTTTCTGATCAATGATAATGCCCCAAGCACGCTCATCATGCAGAATTCACTGACAGCAATGATGCGGAATGTGAAAGGGCAATGGCTAGATTTTCTCTTCTTAGATACGGTCATTGTCTAGCACTTGTGCGGCTCGAATGTACTTTGACACTTGTCAGCCTAAGACTGCATGTTGTCCAGATTCCAATACAATCGAGACATGGACTGCCTCAGTGTCAAAGGAGTCACAGATGATACAGAACGCTGTGTAACCATCTGCAAACACACCTTGATCGTGGGAGGTTATTAATGAAGTAGCTGAAGATGGTCATGCTGAGGATAACACGCTGAGAAAATCCAGGAGTGGTATCATGGAGTAGATAAGACTGACCT